ATGTAGACAGTACATCTTTAGAACGACTTGACGGATTTTTAAGAAACTAGAAATTACATCTCGTAACACTATTGAATTTTTTTACGCATGCTCTGCACAGGTGGCGCTGCAATTGAAAATTTGCGTATTGCCATAGAATTTCATTAAAGCGAACGACTTGTTTAGCATTTTCTGTGGGGTTACTGGAATGTACCGTGACGACTCACGTGATCTAGCTGCCCTGAAGGATACAACTGTTCCCCCATACTTTGTGTCGATCAACTGTTGGCCACTTCGTGGAACCATAAGTTAAGAAGTTGACAGTGGACACCTCTGACTTTACAAGTTTACACCCTGCCTTCAAATTAAAATCAGGGAAATATGCATATTTTTAACTGTGGCGCCATCTATTTAAAAACAAAGGACTATTCCATAGCTATATTATCAAGTTTCATTAAGTTAGGAAGATATACAATCTTCATTTAGTGAAGTTACTTTCTGAACTCCGAGAACAATTTTAGTAACTTGATTTGTAGAAGAACGCCAAAATGTTGTTCAAGTGCAGAAAAGCTTGTAAACCAAGTTAAATTAAAACCATATATAACTTTGTTTGCTTTTTTGTTGTTTATAAAGTTGGAGTTGTCTAACAGCACATTTCATAATTAATACGTGCTAAATATCATTGTATTCCAGAATAATTTATAGAAGTTAAACCTGTGGTAGATTCATTTGAAGTTGTTTAATAGTAGATTAATAAGTACTTACGAATGCGCTAATTATATGTTGTTTCTGGTGCAGTGGAGTTGTATAAAATGCATTCATCTAAGCATTTTTTTAACTTTTAGTTTGTCAATAATAAGTTTCTCGTTCGCACAAACTATAATAATAAATAAATTTTAATAGCCATTTGTCTAACAATATACGGACATACCTATGCAATAATTTATGACAGAGAATCTTTAGGGCAAATAGATAAATAAGCGCACTTGTTTTGGCGATAAACTCATTTTGATTGGTTAATTGTTGCGCTTTATTTAATCCTTGCGTTCTTGGTAAAATGAAACTACAAGAAAAATCTGGCCGAACATCTCATGTTATTATCTGATTTTTTGTTGCGCTTTATTTAATCCTTGCATACTTGGTAAAATGAAATTACAAGAAAAATCTGGCCGAACATCTCATGTTATTATCTGATTTTATGCTGTTAACCACACCTAGACGACGAAATATGTTACATAAACTTGAAGATGCAAATAATCAGGCTATCACCAGTCGCTACTTCGATCTAAAAATATTATCTAAAATGTTTCTTAGTTAAAGAAAAAAGTGACGCCCATCAATGCAACTACTTACAATTTTTTGCTGATGTTGTTTTCATAACGCAAAGCTAGACAATGGGCTATCTGAACTCCGGGGTCACTTTTAACGCAACAACATTACCTTTAACTAGCTGTTTTCAGTTACAAAACGAGCGTCTTTATGGTTGACTGTTTTATAAATTCCTGTTTGTAATAAGAATGATATGTATTTATTTAGATTTCTTTGTGGAATTTCGCGCAAAGATATTCTAGGGTTATCTGCACTAGCTGTCCCTAATTTAGAAATGATAGACTAGAGGGAAGGAAGCTACGCAACGCCATTTATCGCTAACTCTTGGGCTATCATGTTCGTGGACGGGATTCGAACCTGCGACATGCAGATTGCGAGTCGAGTGTTCTAATCACCAGACCCAATTTGTTTTGGGTTTTGATATTTCCCAATACTGCAGTTAAATATCAATAAAGTATTTAAAATATAACTGCTATCCTTCTGATGTTTCTTACGTTGTTAAAGTATTTTTATAAAGGGCACTTGACCAACTCTGACGCTAACTTCACATGTATTTAAAGGTAAAATGTAATCTTAGAATTATCTGAAGGTTCAAAACTCTTAATAATAAAGCTTTTAATATATTCACACCAAAACCATTATTACCACCAGCGGTCTCCAACTATAAAATTAATTTATATTTATAAAGGCGCCTTGCAAAATAGCATATTAAAATATTTGTTGTTTTACCGATTACAGATATTTTAGTCCATCACATTTCATGTCTTAATGTCATTTTAATTGTTGTTATTGATCAACAGCGTGTTTATTGTAGTATCCAGTACTTGATTTCTACCGGATTTATCCGGTTATGAGACTTGAAACTAGTTGAGGATTTTTTTTTCTTTTACTATAAAAATATAATCAGTTTTAATGCTGCTATTTGATACTTCACTTATGTAATCAACTATGCGGAGTATGTTTGAACAGGAAGGTAGAGACAACTTTGTCTAATGTAAGGTAACATATTAGAGACATAGTATGGATAGGTATAGAGAGGCACATACACGAGATATTGTATGGATAAGTATAGAGAGGCACATACACGAAATATTGTATGGATAAGTATAGAGAGGCACATACACGAAATATTGTATGGATAAGTATAGAGGCACATACACTAAATATTGTATGGATAAGTATAGAGAGGCAC